TCTTGGAAGTATCTTGGAGCTTTAGGTGTGTTAGGGCATGGATTTTTGAGGAGATTGAGCTTGGGTTTAAAGATTGAAAGAGATTCTGTGTTCATATCTTGGTTCTTCTTATCCACTCTCCTTCTTCTTTTTTTGTTCAATGTTTGTGCTGATGTTTGTATTTTTTTGATGGGTTTTATGAACATGTGTAGCTAAACCCTTGATTCTATGATTACTTTGAACTCTTTGTATGGATTAAATACTCATTTTCTCTTTGTATTTGTGATTAGTAATGTGATTGTGTTGATTTTACTCCATACTTAATGCTTCTAGTTGACTGACCATCAATTATATTGTTAGGTTCATTTGATTAATGCTCAAGAGAGTTAGGTTGAGTGTAAAATTTGAGTTAAATTACGTGAGAACTTGAAGTTTGCAAGTTGAATGGATGATTTTGTTAATGAGGTGAAAACACATTCATTAATCTCACATAATCACATAGGATTTGTAAGGAAAATTAAAGTTTAATTAATTAATTAATTAAGAGATCAATTAAACTAAACACATTGAGAGTTGAGAGAGTGCTTGTGGGTAATTTAGTATCCTTGATTAGCATAATTTATCATTAAGAGCAAGGTATATTGGGGCTTAATTGAATATTTTTGAAGTATAAAGGGAGATGAATAATCCTAAGCCTAATTACTTTCAGAAAGTCTTGAATCATTATCTTTTTTTATTTTTCAATGTTAATTTAGCTTGCAAAATCAACTTTACCTAATTATATGTTGCTTTATTTAATTAAATTCACAATGTCTTTTGTTTGATCATACTTTAAAAAAAATTATGGAAATGATACTCTACTCACCTTGTATTACTTGTTATAATCCGTGCATTTGCGAAGCGAAGCAATAAACTACAATGACAAGGTTATGCCAGTCAAAGCTTAATGATTAAAGTGATAATTAAGAAAAAGTTTGTGGGCTAAAAGTTATATTGTTTTAAATTTGAACAATTAGACAAGTTTTTTCCTCACATATGCAAAGATTACAAACAAGTCACACTATATATTTTTATTTGATTCATGGATTGGATGGTTGTACCAACATTACTTGTTATTGATTGTTATATTTCATGTTGATATTAATATAGAGGTGCATTTATTGCCTATATAGTATTAAAATGAACTTTCTTGTTTTCAGAAATAAATTCTATAGATACTCTTCTTATTATAAAAAGTTATTATACCATTTATTTATTAGACCTTACTCTATTCGTTAAAAAATATAAAAAATTTTTTAAAATATTTGAATGTTAGAAAAATATAAGATATTTTAATTTTTTAAAGTATAATTAAAGTGTTTTTTTCCAAAAGTGACATAATAAATAAATCACTTTATATTTATTTTAAAATAAACTATTTTATTAAATAAGGATAAATATGAAAAAATATTGTTAGTTTGTAAACAATTAACTACTTTATTAGAAGTAAAATTTAATTAAAAATATCTCATATTTTTAAATAAATGGTCATTTGATTATTTGTATTTGGGTACCATTATTCCCCAGACTCAAATACTTTGCAAATATCCATTTCAATCAAAATATCCTCAAAACTAAATATAATTATGAAAGAATTTTAAAACAATTCAAGTAATTAAATATAAATAATTAATAATAAAATTTATTAAATATATTTTACAACCTTCATTTAATATAATTTTATTTGTGAACCATTAAATAGGGAAAGAATATAATAAAGAGGGAAAGGTAATATTGGAACAAATATAAATAATAAAATTTTAATTTTTGTACATCGAAACACCGAATCACCTGCAAAAATATTATATAAATTGAGAAGGAGGGAGTAGTACTTACTAAAACAAAACAAGTTTGGAATTGGGGCATGGTAGACTTATTAGAGGGGAGCTAGTTTTAAAATTACTTTCTGAAAATGCAAGCAACAAAGTGAAAGAAGCTCCAAAAGCAGATTCCCTCACCCACATGTTATGTTCCATACCAACGTTTATTTGTCTTGGCTTGTTCCTTTTCTTTTAATATTCACACATCTCATTCATTTTCCAACCCCTTGATCATTGCCCCAAACAAGGCATGCTTCACTGCTACTTCAAACTAGTGTTCCCTATAAATGCTATTCTCTTATATATATATATATATATATATATATATCCTCATGCGCCTCCCTTTATTTATTCATTATTCATGCTCCACCCTTCTTGGCGGCTGATAAGATTCATGTGACACAATATTTAATCACACATTATTTAGCCCATCAAATATAACGAGCTACTCCTTGGGTTGGGCAAGATCAAAGTATTGAAAATTTAATCAGTCTAGGCATTATTTTAAAATCACTCATTTCGGTTCAAAATATAAGCAACTTTTAATAATAATTTTCATACTAATAAAATTCTTATTCTCATAAAATTATGTACCCATGGTTCTAATTTATTATAAGCACAAAGATTATAAACTCAAGGCACAAGAATCCGGATTAATAAATACAAATGTTAAAATGATAAATTTCTTTTATAAATATTAAGTTGTTCATAATTTAAATTAAGATTAATTATGAGAAAATGTTTATATATTGGATCAAAAGGAATAATGGCCAAAATCGTAATCAAATTAGTCATTAATAAAATATTTTATTAAATATATCAAAATACAAATTTAATTGTTTACCATTTGTACTGGAGTGAATAACAGTGTTATCTATAATAAAGTCGTTTAGTCCATAAACTCTCTGCTACTCTGAATGAAGAGCTTCTCACATCTTTCATGCGTCTTTGCATGAAAGTGACTTTATTTTTTATTTTTTTTTGGTCCCCCCACCTCCTTTTTTCCTTCTTTTGCCCATCCTTTCTCACTCTTTCTCTCTTCATCTCTGTGCACAAGACCTTGTCATTTTAAGCCATTAACTTCACTTCCAACCTTGTTCTGATTTTGATTTTGATTCTGCACCTGTCTTTTTCCTGGAGCATAAGCTTCAACATGTGCATGTTTTTAAGTATTAAAAAGAGTGGGATACTTTTTCTTTCACGCTGATTCTGTTTCTTTCTTTCTTTGTTTTTTTTTTCCCCTAATCTTCTTTACTGGTTAATGAATAGTTACTAACCACTTAGATTTAGATTTTACCGCCGTGCCTGCAGTGCTGGTGCTGCACGAGAACGCCAGAATGAAAAGAAATGGCACGCATTCTGAGAGACCAGAGTTTTTATAAAAATACCTGTTCTGTCAGCAGAATAGTAAATTTATGCAGTGTTTTGGATTCAAATTTTGTACACGTGGAATCATGTTTTCGGAAATTTATGTCATATGCATTTATGCACCATACGTTTGAGAAAAAAATAATTTAAAATATAACCTCTTTAATAATTTATCAACTTAAATATTATTTGTTTATCAAACACAATCGTTTCACATTCCCAGTTTCAACTTTTTCAACGAAGTATATTGCTTAAAAAAACGTGCACAATCAGAGAATTCCCAATTCTGCACGATCGGGCTTTTTTGGTTTTGCTCCAGCAATACAAAAAAAAATACTCCTTCAGTTTTTTATAAATCATTAATACCTACCTCATTAATATTAATAAAAAATATAAAAAGTAAAAGTGAGTAAAATTTTAAATATATTTTTATATAATAAATTTAAAAAATAATATTATATTATTTTTTCTCTCACGAAAAAATAATTTTAAAAATATTTTAAATATTATCTAGTAAGTCACACCGTAATTTATAAATAAAATTAAATAAATTTTTTAAAATATAATTTATAAATGACACTAGAGGGAGTATTTGATTAAATTAATAAATAATATATAAAAAGTTAAAATTCACCGATTTATCAAATACCAAATAAAATGAGCTGATGGAGTAAAAAGGTGATTTCTCCCTCAAGAAAAATCAGAAGCAGAAAGTTTTCATTTTGCATTCATTTTCAGCAATCACTCATGTGGGCCTCTCTCTCCTGAGATCAGGAAATTTGGCTGCCATACACCTGGCTGCACCAACAAAGACATCTCCACAATCAGAGAGAGAGAGGTTTGAAACATGAGAATCATCAAGGTTGTCATACAGGGCATTCATTGCATAAATAATATATATATATATATATATATAAGGAGTAAAAAAACAATACAGAAAAAGTAAAAAAGAGAAGAACCTAAGAGTAAAAGAAAGGGATAAGCATGGAGATGCTGAGTTCCTCCAAAAGAGAACCTCTGGGGCCCGTGTCATGTTGTTGGGAGTCACTGTTCACTCATATCTGTCTCTTGACACTACTCTTCTTGTGTTTTGTTCTAACCCATTATCATTCATTACTTTTTTTCTCTGTTTTTCCCCCTTGTCCAATACCATCCAAAGCTTGTCATTGCCATTTAGTATTACAATACATTTATGCATAATTTAGTCAAAAAGGGCATCATCCCTCATCTGAGATTCTGTTTCTGTGGTGGTGTGCGATTGGGAACCAAAAAGATTTATCTAAAGCTGCTTTCTTCCAATTGTTTCAGAGCATTTCTCACACATTATGTGAGAAACTATGCACTTCTCTTCCCCGCAAAGACACTCAGGAACAAGGAAATAAAATATCAGGCATAGTACTTCCAGGTAAAAAAGAACAGACGCACTGTTTACATGAGAAAAGAGACTAAAACAGTATCTGCAATCCCTTCTCTCTCACTTTCAGTTCTCAGTTAAAGTAAGATCTAAGGAGTCACAACAAAAACTTAAGAGCTTAAGTTGAAAAAAAAGGGAATAAAGGCTTTTTGATGAAGAGTAGTTCCCATCAAAAGCTTATGAAGACCCTTTTGACGCGAAGAAAAAGTTTATGGAAGCTAAAAGCCTTATCTCTTGCTATCAAGTTGTGTGCAAGGAAGAGATAGACAAATGAACAAAAGCACAACAGTAGCATTATATTCCATCACATGATGAACCTTAAATGGAGGAGAGAAAAGACATTCTTATTTTTCTTCTGGGACAACAGAAGCGAAACTAAATTAGTAGTACCACAAACATTGCTGGAATTTCCATTAGATCCACAGTTACAAGGTTACAGTGAGAGAGGGATTCTGGAAAATCATCAATCTTTTTCTATTTTTCTTGACAACAAGAGATCAGAGTATCAGATACAGAATCTAATCTTAGTTCTACCCTCAACTCGACGCAATTTGTGTTGTTGCTTGCTCGTTCTGCATCTCTTCAGTCACCAAGCAAAATAATAAGGAAAAAGAAGCAAACACTATGCAGGCCTGTGTCGCTTGTGTCCCGCTTTCCCGTCAGATTTTAGAGCACCACTAGAATCTCCCTCGGATGAAACATCCATGGATTTCGTGAAGGAGCTTGAAAGATCAGCATAAAGATCAACCACTCTTTTGATGTTGTTGTTGAGCTCTTTAATAAGACCCACGTTTCTGCTTAGGTTGTCGGGGATCTTGGACTCGTGATTCTGGTTTATCTCGTTGATGAGAAGCCTGTTCTGATCCAAGATGTTCTGCACTTGAACGAAGCTCTTTTTAAATGTCTGCAAGATCTTGCCATCGACTTGTGTTGTACCATTGTTTAGACCAGAGAATATGTCACCCTCCATTCTTTTTTCCGAGTCAAAAGCTTAATCGATCAAGTCAGAAAGAAGCAGTCCTGCATCAGAAGGAGATGAGAAAAGGAAAACAAACAAAGAAAGAAACAAAGAACCAAAGATAAGAACAACAGTGCGCAGAACTTATATAGTTTAGTAGCTTTTTTGAATTTTTAATTCGGCCATAATCATATCCTCTTATCTGTACATGCCTGCACTAATGAAAACAGAAAGACAAAACATGAGCAGCATCTGAATTGTTTAAGGCATTTGGGCAGATGAGACAAGGGATGTAGTAGAAATCATGACCCCCATGAGTTTTTTTCAGAGGGATCAGATCATATAAGAAGCATATAAATTCTACTCCCCCCCTCCTTGCTTCATTATTATTGAGATATTAATATGGAAGTCTTACTGTTGTGTTGCTATTATATTGTTGCAGTTATGGATATTGATCATGTTATTATAATTTATGATGAGATGGGAAAAAGCAGATCCCATTTCCTTAAAAGGGAACCTTTTTTAATGTACTCAAGAAGAAATACCTACCTAACTAAAGCACAGAGTTCCAATGGAGAATCTCATAGACCCCCAACAGGGCAAAAAAAACAAAGAAAGAAAGAAAGAAAAAGAATGATGCAGAGAAGATGAAGCACGAAGGTGTACTGCATCAGTTCAGAGACAGCATTATTAACCCTTTTCGACCAAAATTACGGAAATAATAATAGCTGTCCAGACCCGAAATTAACTAGCATTGCTCAAATTCTGAGAGCATACATTGAATACAACCAAAAGCCGTTTAGCAATCTGAAATTGGCAATTACTCAAGACTCAGAAATTGCGCGAGAGAAAAAAGGACTGTGTCATGAATTCGAACACTGAAACCGTACTGGAAATCTCGCACTTGCAGGAGCAAAAATTCCGTTAAGTAGCGACCAGAAATTAGCTGGAGATAAAGGGAGAAAAAAAAAAAAAAAGAAACATTGACGAGACAGCGAACGAGAAAATAAGAAAAATCCCAACCCCTAAGCTGTAAAGATCTCTGGAGAAGGGGGAAAAAAGGGAGAAAGGCCGAAGCAGAGCAGAAAGGACGCAAGGAGAGTAAGAAAACTTGAGTTTTTCATGATTAAATTAGTGGGCTAATAATTTTATATTAGAGTGTGTATCAGAGTTGCCATAAAAAAAACGGGAATTCGTACCTTGAAAATCTGGAACATGTTAGCACAGGAGGAAGACAAGGGATTTCCGAGGAGGAGTGTGATGGAGATCGGCGATTGAGTCGAATCTCCGGAGAACTAGAGGTCTGCGGAACTCTGAGAATGGAGGGAAGAGGAGAGGAGGGAGGGAGAGGAGAATATGTAGATTTGACAGTCACGCCCGAAGGCTAGTGTAAGTGCGAGGGTTGCGTAGTTTAATATTTATTCCGCAGTATTTACAATGAACATAATATAATGCATAACAACAACAATAACAACAAACTAGGATGGGCCCTATGCCTCTTAGTAGAGGTCAAAAATAATCAATCCGTTTTAATGAAATATAATTAAAATGGATTCATATAAAATAAAATATAAGGGACAAATCAATGAAGAGTTAGGAATTACTACAAAATGGAGTCATAGAATGATCATTAGTCCCGATGATGATGGATAGACATGCACTTCAGAGGCATGTAAACTTTTTTATAAATTAAAGGCCTTGAGTTCAATCCTAACCTAATAGATGTTAGCATATGTCTGTTTAATTCAAAAAAGAATGATCATTCATACTCTTTTATCATTGTACATATAACCATTTTTATTATTTCATTATTTATCAACTCATTTAATTCAATTTTATTTCTTTCCAAATTCAAACAATGTTTAGATTTGAACTAATCAATAATAATCCAAAAACAAAGTCGGAAAATGCAAAAATTTGTTGAAATAATTTCCTTATATCTAGATTACTTATGCACTCAATTGCATTAGGAACATAGAGTAATTTGATAAGCTTTTGCCAAATTTTAATTTGCAAATTCTTTTTTTTTTTTTAGGTACGAGCCAGTAACTCCGTGACAGCAGGGTTATTTCTCTCAAAATATTTAGAAACAAATGATGAATCTCTTCGAATTAATTTGTAAATTCTAGTTTATGTTAAAATTCAATTTAAAAATAGGCATGTGTTTAATTTTTTTTATTATACATATTAAAAATTAGTTGGAGTCTGAATATGCACATTAAAATTTAGTTCGAGAGCCCAAGTCAATGCACAAACTGAAAATGAACCACACGTATAGATCATAATAATATATTTTTGACCTTGAATCATAAAACTGATATTGTAGATTACATGTTATTGTAGTGTGCACGCTGATGAAAGAATATGCAATGAAAGTGATGTATTTAAGGAAAAAAAATGGAATTAAAAGACTACGACTAATGTGTGAGAATTGGGTACAAACAACACCAGTGGCGGAAGAAAGACGTCGTGCTATCTAATCCAACTTTTTATGTGATTACTTATTTTCTGAGATTGATCCGACGCATCACTTCTCGCCATTTCTCGTAGCGACACCTGGCTCCTTCATCATCCCACATATCTTCCATGCACCCAGGACCCACATCACCAGTAGTTTATGTATTTTTTGAAAATATCCCGATTTAATATTACAACTTAGGCATATTTACGTGTCAATGCAAGGTCGAATCTTGAATCTCAGCCAATAAGAAAGTGACATTGTTACTTAGACACGTAATTAGTGGCACAAGACATTTCTTTTGACATCAACAATAAAGCTCAAGGCAATTTGAGTTTGGGAGATGTGTTACAGTCTATTTGGATTCATTCTTTTGAGATATTATCTACTTAAATTTATTCTATTGGGATTTAAAAGATATTTTGTACCCATTAGTTATTATTAAAATCTTCATTAATCAATTATTATTTTTATATATAGTCTATATATTATACAATTTGAAAAAAATTTATATAGAGTTTGTGTATCACACTATTCATGATCTATTAAATAAAAATATTACATATAAATTAATTTTAATATTAATGACAGTGGAAAGAGAAAATATGAGAAATTAAATAGATATTTTTATAAAATAAAATTATAAAAAAATAATTACACGTAAGAGATTTTTTTAATTAAATTAGTGTAATTTTATTAAATGAACTACAAATGATGTAGTGCTGTTTAACAATTTCTCTATAAAATTTTCATATGACAAATAAAACAACACCTTTTCAAGTCCCATTCTTTCCTCTCATGACTCATTTTCAAGTAGTATGCTTATGACTTAAGATTAGATGTTAAATTTGTCTTTTTATTATATAATTAACCTAAAAAATTAATAACCATGTTCACGATTCACAAGGTGTAAGTGATTGTGAATTTCATGGTAGCTGACTTGTTTGTTTATTAGATTCGATAATATTTAAATTTAAGCTTATCATAATATTTGGGCCAAAGCCTGACAAATTAAATAACATATACTACTGATGTATGATTTAAAAATGATAAACTACCATACCTCATCTGTTTTTTAATATAAGAAACAAATAACTAAATTTCACAATTTAAGAAACTTAGTTACGTGTCATAATTATGTCTAAAAAATTAAAAATGGACTAAATTATTCTAGTAATAGTGTAATTAATGAAATAAATTTTTTGAGTAAAAATAAATATTGACTTTGTAAAAGATAATTTAAAAAAATATGACAAATATCTTTTGAAATTTTTAATTTTATTTATAAATAAAAATAAAGAGAAAACAAATAAAGAGAAACGTGATGATTTTTCTTATACTAGAAAATGAAATAGTATTAGCTAATGGAGGGGGAGAGAGAGTGATAGCCCGTAGTGTCATCATTTCAAAAATCAGGTACCCATAAAATAGTCATGAGTTCAATTATAACTTAGGATGGAGATTAAAAATATTACTTTTTCAAAACATTGTTATCTAATTGATCGCACCAACTTTTGAAA